GTACGTAGGTAGGTAGATAGATAAATAAAATGTGAAGAATGATGTATAAACTTCCAGTACAGGAAGAAAACATTTTGTTTTCTTATTTATCTGCTTATGTTCTTGACGTATGGTTATGTTTGTTTGTTTGTTTGTTTTTGTTTACCTGATGTGACTCTGGCAGTTCGACAGCCACAGGTAGTCATCCTCCGTGCTGCTGTCATGTTCCAGGTGACGCACGCTCACGGGGTCGTACGGGGGCGGGACTTGCCCTGTCACCGTGGAGACAGTGGGAGTGCCACAGGCTGGGGGGGCAGAGGCGGAGCCTGCAAGTCTTTCTGGAACTGCAGAGGAACAATATTTTTATAAAATTATCTAGAAAATGTATTTTGTTTTATTTCAGACGTCCAGTCACTGAACCCACTTGGTGTTTATATAACATTTTTGCAAACTGTTAAAACAATAGTTTTCAGAACCTGGCTCCTCAAACTCTAACTTTCTCACTTGGTTACAAAACTAAACTGAGACTGCAAAGAAAAGTTTGACTAATTCTGTACATTTTGAGTTGTCTTACATTTACTGCAACAGTTCAGCCAGTAAGTTGTGTCTCCATCATCTTTGTGAGTTTATTTTCCTAACAAAATGTTAGCTTTTAATTTTAGACTTTATTATTTGGTATTAGTGTTTCATCAACTACAAGTGGAATTCTTGAATCTGCACGAGTCATGCTGAGTTTGGCCAAAATAGTTAATTTTTTTCAAAAAATGTTGAAAACTATGCACATTCCATAGTTTGTTTTTATGGTTTATCAAATTTGTTTTTATTGTTCTCATCTTATTCCGTTCTTTTTTTAATTTTTTTTATAAGCAAAGCACTTTGGTCACCTGCTTTTTAATGTGCTTTACAAAAAAAAAACATGTTGACTTTAAAGAAATTAAAATCCAGAAATATTTTCACATATTAAACCAGTGTTTTCCAAAGTGCAGTATGACGGACCGCAGCTTTTGTCTCCCACATAAAGGCAAAGAAGTGAGGATTAAAGTAGTAGTTTTTGCAAAACAAAACAACTATTTCCCACTAAAGTAGCTGTTCATTATTTTAAACTGTTTTGCACAGAGAGGCTTATTTTAATTTATTTTATTTAGTGAAAACAGTCACGATTAAAATAGTGACACTAAAAAAGTGGTTTGTGGTTTTGTTATTTAAATGAGGTATTTTATATTATTCAAACTTTAATTTATTTCAATTCACTTTCATTGGTTCAGTTGTTTGATAAAAGTTCAGGTGTGAAACAAACTGCAGAGGAGTTTGATACAAAGTATCTGTGTGTCTGATTGGAAACTGGTATTGCGGGGTGGGGGGGGGGGTCATAACCCAAAGGGGGGGCCCAGCAGAAATAGTTAGAGAACCTCTGTATCAGACCGCATATGTTGCACGTTTAAAACTGTGTTTTATTTTTACATAAATACCAGCATCCTGCTCAGTAGTAGTAATAATAATAAAGGCGTAAATAATGTTGTCAAAACAAAAAAACGACTGATTTCTGCAAAAAATCGTTACCTGCAAGTAGCTAGTTCAGCAGAAATAAAAACTGCCAAAAGTTGGAATTAGTGGCTCAAAGACAGCACCTATTGGTTCAGTTTTTATATATCAGCTGGAGCTAAATGCAGTTTATTAATACATTTAAAGAATGAATATTTTACAGAAGCGACTCAGAAACACAACCCTTCAAATCTTTTCTCTGCGTGTTCTCTCTTCTCTCCACCTACAGGTTTTCACGCTGAGTCAGCTGGGACCCACACAGACAAGCCTACCCATCCCAGTTACAACACAAGATGTGTTTGGAGCTGATGGATCTGTCCTACCCTCATCGGTCGGGTTGAAGCCACAGAGCAGGCAGATGGACGTCACCCAGCGGTTCATGTCCTCCTCGGACTCGGCCACCAGGTACCAGGTCCTCTCCTCTGTTCTCAGGTCAAAAACGAAGCTGGTCTCCAGTTCTTTCTTTGTGAAGGACAGACCGGCGTCGACCTGGAGAAGCAGAGTGTGAAATGGGAGAGGCAGATCAGTGAATATCTGCATCAAGATCACGTTTAAAGGGAGGGGGGGGGGGGTTATTTTTCAGGCACATAATTCAGTTCTAGACCACAACCAAGTCACTATGTTACCTTCAGTTGTTATGAAAATGCTGAATATATCAAAATCAAATTAGACTTTGCATCACTTTGCTCAGCTGCACACTGAGCTCCAGGGATGAGCTTTGTGTGAAAAAGGTGGAGCTTTGTACCAGAAAGCCTTTAGGCAGCTCCACATCACTACATTTTCAAGGATTTCTCAAACATGCATGAATGAGTGAAAGCAACACTTTGTGTCAGTCACTTTGAACGACACCATAGCTTGGTATAAAACTCAAAAAAGTCCACTTAGCATAATACCCCCCCCCCCCC